CAAATCGAAGCTGTGTAATTCCTGCAGTTTCCTGAATGCTCAGGCATTAAGTAATCTGTAGATGGAGAGAATCATTTGTGTAAAATAATTTGCTTCATGCAAGCTTGTCTTGTTATATGCTTTCTTTAACATGATGAGTACTAAAAGCAAGGTTCAGAAGATGGGTCTTTACATTTTTAATCCTTCATTAAGGAAGATGTGATGGTAATTGCAGCATAACAACTTTCTGTTTTGTTTTCTTATACCGAGAGGAAAAAAATAATTCCTGATAAGAATGTAGCCCACAGGTATCTTTAACTGAAAATTGATCTGGTATAGCATAAGAAGGAAAATAAATTAAAATGCAGTAAATGCAGATATAAGCATCCCTTAAAGACTTTGAACAATATGTAGAGTAATTGGAAAGCTTTTACCTCTAGTTGGTGTGAATTTCCAGCTCTTAATGTTGTATTGTCATTGGATGCCAATATGGTAAATTTTGCCATAGTATTAAGTATGAAGTATTAAGATTAATTACCTTTTTTTGTCCTCAGTCTTCACAGTTGTATTTGAAATGGGATTGCAAAGACTGATACAACAGTAGATTATTTTTTTTTTCCTCTTTCTGATGGCCTAGGAGATGGTAATAGGTACAGGATCCTCCAGAGGGACACTGGAGAAATGGACTGAAACATAATTGTCAAAACTCTTGCACCCTGCCCTGGAGATTGAGCACAGGCAGCCTCAGAGGTCACCTGAAAGGACTTTTGCTACTGTGAAGCTGCAGTGTTAATGGTTTAGAAACATACAGGCCAAGATGTCTGAAGTACCCCAGGTTTTCTGCAGGTGTTCTGATCAGTTTTTGAAAGTAGAGAACTGTAATGCAGCCAGAGTAGAAGGGATTTGATTAATGGGAAGTGTTTGATTGTTTATTTTCATGGAGATGCGCTATTATGCTTGGATATAAAACATTATCTGTAAAAATTCCAGGGGGGGGAAAAAAACCTCTTGTGATATTTTAAATTTAATATTATCTTGATTTTTGGTGGCTTTTTTTTAGTGTGAAGAATTCTTAAATTTCATAGCTATAATCTGTCTTTGGATTTGGAAGCTAGTATTAGTTGAAAAAGAAATAAAGGCAGACTGAGAAAATCCTGGCAGTGATAAAGGATATGAATTTAAGTTTATATTTTTTGGTCATTTTACTGTTAATTTTTATTTCAAGTGAGTTTAGTCTTTGAAATTATTCAGGGTAATAATCCTAAAGCAGGAGCTTTTTTGTCATTATTAGTATAAAATGGGATAGATTGTCTATGAATTTTCAGGTATGTATTCCATTTCAGAGTTCAGTAGCCCCTTTTGTAATGCCTGCTTTAACTTGTTTATTATTTGTTTCCTTTATCTTCATGAAATATTTCACAGGCCTCTTTAACAGAATAAGAATAGAACAAAGGTGAATGTATTTAAATTGGATCTACATTTTCTTCAGGCAGTAGAAAACTCTTCAGTATAACAAGTTTTTATTGTAATTGCATCTCTGATTATCATGATGATACTATAAATAGTTGTATTTAGGAAATCGTGATACGCAGCACAGATGGAATTTAATTTCTGTGGAAACTGCTGGTTTTCTCTCTCTTGTTCTCTTCCCACCTTCCTTCTCTGCTGTCCCCTTCTATGTTTCCTTCCCAGCCAGCTAAACAGAGTAGATGGTGACATTTTAAATGTCAACTGCCATCAAGATTTTTAAGGCAAATTTGTGTGATTATATGCCTAGCACGGGGAAGACTATTAAAGTTAGTGTGTGCTTAGTGCCATCTAATGTGCAGCCAATTTGCATGTTGCTGAAGCCCTAGAGATGTCTCCTGAAGGAATAGCATTACTCCTTATCCTCATCTCTCACTTTCTCATCATCTCTGGTGTCTCTTATTAATGAGACTAATGATATGAGTACGGTGGTTTGAAGGAACTGCAGAGCTTAGTGAAGGGTAATAGGATGTAGTGCTTTTTGCTGTCATATTGCTTGTTCCAATCAAGCCTGGGCTGATAATGGAGAGGCTGAAGGTCGTTGCCACAAAAGAGCTGTCGGGTTGTGTCAGTCCAATTACACCCACAGTGCCGTACCTGGTACCCGGGCTGGTGGCCTTGCTAAGAAGGCCAGGAACTTGGAGACCCGGCTGCTCCCCAACCCCGCGTGGGTGCTTGTGAAATGCACCATAGGTGGGAAGCGCCTGCTCCTGTCAACCGTGCACAGCAGTTGAGTACTACGCATGACGTTCTGGTTGCCTTCATTCACCCAGGTGTATTTAATAAATAATCGATCAAGGGAGAAGTCAGGACCCATTTCTCACCCTCCAAAACCAGAGCTGTGCAGTTCTTAATGCAGATTGCACTGAAGCATAACTCCTTCACGGCAGCCATCAGAAGGATGTTTCTTGCTCCTTCTCCCCTTCCTTTTCCTGTTTTTAAGCACCTTGGCTCTCCAGCCCTTTCCCCCCACCCCTCATTAGGCTGCGGAGGCTCATTTAGCGCAGCTCAGCCACTGCTTCTGTGCTGACACACATCGTGCGGCTGCCGTTCACCAAGGCTGACAGTGCAGCCTGTGGAGTGTGTTCAGAGGGGAAAAAAAAGCCCTGCTGGTTTTGCTGATTGGAAGTGAGCTATCCCCTTGTAATGGCTTGCTGGAAACAAGGGATATGGAGTACATGTTACTGGTAATACTCATCTTAATGAGATGCAAGAAATACATGCTGTTGTATTTGGGCCCAAAGCCATTTTCATGTGACGGTGCTTTATATCTGCTGAGAAAAATGATAAAAGTTTAAGAGTAATTGCTTCGAGGCTGTGGCTGATGGTGCAGTCAAATGAAGTGCTCCTGAATCTCTCTAGATAAGGGCTGGTTTAAATAAGGGTCACAGTTCACCTTATGCATTGTCATATGAATAGATGGTTGTCCAAAAGTTGGACATGTCTAACAGAGTCTATTGTACTCCAAGATTTACTCCCACCGGGAATGGTGGGTACTAATGGCATTTAAAAGTCCTCTGATTTTTTTTTTTTAAAGTGATTTGCAAGATAGTCAGAATGCTTCAGAAAAATGTGGCTTCCCTTGTGCATGGGAATGCTGTCTTTGGTGCAGGTTTGGTCATAGTGAGAGCTTTGGACTTTCATTGCTGCTGTCCCGTATGCCAAATGTCATAAATTTGTCATAAAGACTTAGATAGTCTCCAAGCCTGCTATAAACTAAAATTATTCAAATCTAAAGGCATGTAGCGTTTGGGGGTGGGGTTGGTAAAAATGTTTACAGAATTAGAATGCCTTTATTCTTGGTATGGGAGTGTATTGTGTCATTCTGGCTTCACTGTTTGGCTGGTACATTTCAGCTGTAAATTATATTACAATAGTCTTTTGTAAGATGCTTAGTTGGTGCATTTAATTAGAAGCAAATATATACCTGACTCCAGACAGAGATAAGAAAGAAAAGATAGTATGTCCTACTTTTGAGTGCAAAATATCAAGAAACAGAAAATTTTGTTTCGTGTAGAATTGGAACACTGGAGTGACAAGTAAGGGAATGTGTGTGTTTTTCTCGGGAGCAGAAAAAAATAGAAGCTTTAAAGACAATGCATCTTTTTCCAGAAGCTAAGGTGAAAGAGCGGTAATGACTGCAGTTTCTTTGTACTCAGAATCATTGGCAGAAGACACCTTCAAGTTTATTTCTTTAATATACTCTTCTGTTACATTTCAACAGAAAATATTTGGAAAATAAGAGTGTTTTTGTCCTCTACTAAACCAGTTAAGTTACCGGCTTCTTTGCAAAAGTGGTGCATACAGTGGGGGGGTGTTTTCTCCCTAAATATACAGATAATAACACTCTTCCCTGCAAGAAGAAAATTGGGAGGCTGGTGTTCATAGTGTACCCTGTACGTGAAGGAGTAGTAGAGCTGTGTGTCAATCCCTTACGCTTTCAGTCTGGGAGAGGGGTGGTGATCTCCACTGTTCAGTGGGAGCTTGTGTACTTGGCAACACATATGCACCCATGCGGTTAAGAAGAAAAAAGGTGGGAAGAAGTGCTTGTGTAAATGGTACTTGTGTGGCCCTGCTTTGAGCAGGGTGTTGGTCCAGGTGACCTCCAGGGTCCTCTCCATCCTAAGTTTTTCTATGGTGCTGAATGAAGTATCTGTAAGAATTGAGCTACTTAATTCCAGTTCTGAGGAACCTGGGTACAGATAATTAGTTTCTACATCACAAGAACCTGGAAAAACTGTCTTCAGTAATGTTTGTGCTGCATTTTTGTGATGGCTAATGAGCATGTGTTTGTATATATACATAAAATATATGGGTGTACTCTTTAATTTTGTTTATGAACCTGGAAACAGGCAGTGACCCAGTTTGCTCAGAAATGATACCATTACCATGGCAGAAGATCAGTAGAACTCTGTTTAATGGCACTGCTTATAATAAAAACAATAGCTTAATAATTATCATAATAATGAATCATGAAAAGTAACTTTAAGGATTTCTTTATAGTCAAACTATTTGCCATTAGAGTATTTTTCTGATGGTTCAAAAGAACGAAACTGGAAGAGATGGATGAACTGCTAATTGACCAAATGCTGTCTCAGTTTGAAGTCTGACGAGGCTGAAAATGGAGATCATAAATCAGCAGGTAGCAGTCAGACTTGCATAAAATCAGCTGGTGTTCTCTCCACTTGTGGAGACACAGAGCCTCACAGGTATTGAGTGTTAAAGGGGTGCTACGAACTGGCCACAGACCTAAGTAAGAATTTCAGTTGGCATCTCTTGCCTGTCTCAGCATCAGTAGGCAGTCTGGAAATAAGACTCCTGTGTTGTTCCCCCATATCATTCTCAAACTGGCTGCACTATGTTTGTTCCCCATAAATAAAGTTTTGATCAACAGTACTTGCACTGTAAAACTTCTTTTCACAAAGGCTATGTTCAAGCAAAACCATAGCATGAATTGTGTTTGAGCATTCATTTTCTTCCCTGTACTCCATTAGGCAAGCGGTGGTTAAAGGCTCCCTTCCACATCCTTTTGCTTTGACGCTGTTTGGGGACACGTTGTACTGGACTGACTGGAACACACATTCAATCTTGGCCTGCAGCAAGTACTCCGGGGAGGACCTGCGTGAAATACATTCCAACATCTTCTCTCCCATGGATATCCATGCTTTCAGCCAGAAGAGGCAGCCAAATGGTAAGTTGTCTTGCTTTCTTTTTTCAACTGCAAGTTGGAACTGATTTGCAAAAATTTTAATTAGTCTTTCTGTATGGCAGTGGGTGGCTTCACTTGCGTCATGATGCAATTTTTCCAATGCAGAGATTGGGAAAAGACCCAAAAAGAAACCAAATAATCTCTACATTGTTTTTTTTAAAGTGCAAAAAAATCTCTTGCTTTTTTGCTGCCTGCCACATTTATCCTGTTGTTGAATTCCATTTTCTGTTTCATGTGCCATAACTTTAGGCAACATGGTATTTTTGTATTTTCCAAGTAGTAGTTCCTGAATGGAAAGTAGTGTTAATTTGGCAGATGATATTAAGCAAGACTAGCTCTGTGTAATAGCCAGTGTCTTAACCATTGTGTTAATTTACTGTGTTTGCATTTTGTTTTTATATATACAACCTACTATACATTCAGCACCGACATGCTGAATAGTTTGTGAAAATGAGAAGGGCAGAGCTGAAACAAGGCTCTTGTTTAGAGCTAAGTGCTGCTTCCCCAAGAAAGGAAACGTTCAACATCCATGCATTTTGGTACCATAAATACCCCACTACTCAACACTTGGAATTAATTTTTCCTTGTTCTGTGTTTATCATTTCCTCCTTTAATCTGTGTTGCTGCCACCGATTCTACCACTCAAAACGCCATATGTGTTTTAACACATGAGATGAGGTCATTCGTTATCAGAAGCATTAATCTGTGTGATTTATGTTTAACAGCTACAAACCCATGTGGAATTAATAATGGTGGCTGCTCCCACTTGTGTTTGATGTCTCCTACCAAGCCCTCTTATCAGTGTGCATGTCCCACTGGTGTGAAACTTCTTGACAATGGAAAGACCTGCAAAGATGGTAGGCTTTGTTTTTAAAAATACTTTTAGATTAAGCACAAAATAGTTATTGGAGGGAAAGGGGTTCTTCCAGCATCATTATGTAATGCATATTAGGGGTGGCAAATTGTGAAATAATGCGTGCTTTTGCAGTGCAGATAAAAGTGATTGGAAAATGCCCTCTACTTTTCAAAAAAGAAAGAAGCTTACAGCTGAAGAGCAGGTTACCTCCAGTTACAAAATTTAGGTTCCAGTTCTGTCTCTGTCACTAATTCCTGCAAGTTTTTTGGGGGCTCTGTTATTCCCTTTTCTTAGAGAAAATGATACCTACCTCCTCTGTCTCTGAAATGTATTTTTCATTAATACTTAGCTAATAGGATTGTACAATGAAAACAATTTATTTTTTTTAAGGTCTGATGTCACATACGCCTCGAAAATCCTTCAGTTCGCGTGCATAACATTAGGCACCTACATCTGTACGTAGGAACTGAAAAGAATGGCATGGGTTTTAGCGGTTGAAAGTGTTTCGGCCTTAAAACCCATGATGTGATCAAGGCTTAGGACTGCTAGCGCTCACCCCAAACTGCTTTGTTAAGTGTCTCATTGTGGGCTAATGTATATGGTTTTAAGTTGTTACATTTTGTAAGTACAGGTCTTGTGACGTTGTGCTGTGGTTGCTGTAGTACATTAACAGGATCAAAATAAACACTGGGAGATAATTAGCTCGCTCATAAATAACTATCTTTTATGCAGATCATCTCTCTATTAAAAAGCTAAATGGAGAAAGAAACAGAAAGATACATCAGAATTTACTGTAAACAGGCTAAATAAAATGTATAGAGAAATAACTTTTCTTAAATTGTCATTTTATATTTTAAAAATTCTTCTAGGCTTGTGAGCTACTGTTCAGTGTTTTCTTTAATTTCATGCTATTTTGTGCTCTCTGCTGATTATTTTTGTGTGGCTATTTGTGTCTGTGTGAACCTTGTTAAAATAAATTGCTGCTTTTATGTGAAGAACTCAAAAGCAGCTCCCAAATTAGCCTTGCGGGATTGTTTGTAAGAACTTACCAATGCATGCACAAGATGTTTTTCTTCCATTTCTGCCAATACAAGGAGCAAGCTTTAATAATACTGCTCCAGGTTGGTCATATTTAGTCAAAATGTGACACAGATTCATGTGCTTTTTCATAAATACTTGATATGCAAGGATAAACTCCTTTGTGGCAGCAGGTAGCTAAAGCAATTCTTACCCAATACAGGCATGTTTCCAAAAGCACAGCTGCAGAAAAAGTCCATGTGGGGGACAGGGAGTGGTGAAGGTTTGGTCACTTGCCAAGTGGAGGTAGAGAGGTAAGGCAGCAGAGGCTGAAGTACTAAGGACAGCAGTTGGAACAAGCCCTGGAGAGATCAAGAGGGAGAAATTGCTTCCCTTTGACTTACTGCTGATAGGAAAAGGGCCAGGGACTTCAGGCAAGAGGGGCTGACTATTTTTGCTCTCTGCATGCTGCGTTCCAAGGAGCAGGTGGTTGTATCACAGAAGGGCCGGCTTCCCTGCTCACGTTCAGCCCCGTGTCCTCATGGAGGCAGTCTGCCACACAGCTTAACTGCCCCGTGCTGAAGGGCTGGATGGCACCTTTCTAGTGTATCAAAGTAAATTACCAAAGCCAAGTAAAGGAATGGTATTTAAAAAAAAAAACCAACAAAAAAACCCAAAAACCCAAAACCAAACCAACCCCCCCCCCCAACCCAAACCTTATTAAAAGGACTTTAACTTCCCATGCAGAGATACTCCAAATCATGATTTTTCAGCCATTCCTTATGTCTCAGAATTTATAGCTGTTGCTCTTTTCTCCCACTCCCTGAACACGAGAAGCCAAATTGTATGTTCCCAGTCAGCCATACAATATATTTGGCTCACAAAATACAGCTCCCATTTTATCAGAAATTTTATTAACCAATTTACTACAGCATGTTGTCCATCTGTATGCCAAAAACTTTATAGCAGAACATTTATTTATATTACACTTGTTAATATAATGTTGCATTTTTGACCACCACTCTGCTATTGCATCTTTCCAAAACACTCTGCCCCTCCCTTTTCAAGAAGAAAAATGGGTGAGGGGAGAAAATTGAGCCTGTGTTTGTTTGGCTCCATTGAGTGTTGCATGCCACTGCTTCTTGGACTCAGATACGAGTTAGCACATAACCCAAGTGAAACAACCTACTCAAACTACGCATCGGATCCATAGGTCTCACTTAATGTCGATGATCCTGTGCAGAGCTAACTTCTGGGAGGAGCGTGAGGAAGCTTCAGGTTCAGCATTTAGAGCTGAGCTTACCCTGAAATAATGAAATGGTTTTGACTGTTTTTTTCACTCCTCTCACTCAAGAGAGGTGTGGGTGGTAAGCTTAGGGCTTTTGCGAGTGACCTACAACTTTCTGGAGCTCTTTAAGGCAGAGATTCACTGGAATTTCTTCTTGTAGTTGTGAAGGCTGCAATTATTGATTTGGGGAAGGGAAGAGAGCATGCAA